ATATATATATATATATATATATGTATATATATATATATATATATATATATTTATATATATATATATATATACAAATATACATATACATATACATATATATATATATATAAATGATACTGGAACGTTTATTTAAAGTAGCTCATGGCACAACAATTGAAATTGAGAGTTCGGACTGTACGTTTCAAGTGAAGATTAGACTTAGAGGGCTCTATCATTGGGGCGGAGCCTGGCATGGGCGGCTTATTTAGTGAAAGGTCATGCGGGTTGAACCGTGTCGTTGATCCATAACACCCACACCGGAATACAGTACACTGAGAGACCTTGGTCACAGACCTACACGCATATGTACTCCCTCCAGCCAAAGTACAGGCACATACGAGTAGGCAGGCCATTCGGGAGCCCGTTAAGGAAAGCATTGTTGATCAGGGGCAGCCCAGATGCAATAGAGTACTGGTATCCGTGATCCTGAATCTCAATGGGTTGCAGAGAAGCATGGGTATTGTAGTGTTGTTGTCTCTGTGTGTTGTCGGCGTAAAGGTCCCCGCTTGCGATATTGTCCGTAAAGTCCGCAACACCGTTGGAGGTGGGCGGGTCTGTGAATAAATAATCGTCGTGTGAGCTTGCCGAGTGACATAAAATGGTAGGTAAGCAGGCGTTCGCAGGTTGTGCGTCACCATAGCAACACTTTGCTAAGCTAAAAACCACAGCAAGACTTTTTGCTAAGTTAAAAACCGTAGCAACACTTGTATATATCAAACTGCCCGATACGTCGTGCTTCAATTATGTACATCGAAGCAGCGATAATCGCGCAGTAGTAGAAACTATAAAGAAATCTGGAAGGGTTTGCGTGAATATATACTGCTATATCATATTTGTGTATGTGAGATATACATTCCGGCCTGCGACATGTGCCATATGACATTGAACTAAGATCAGCTCACATTTGCAGATTAGTAAATGCCATTCCCCGCAGCACATGCATAAAATGGGTATATGAACAAATTGAAGATGTACTTAAATACACAGAATTGCGCGTGCGTAAACTAATTTATACACATTCTCATATATATATATATATATATATATATATATACATACTAGTATACGAGGA